TTCCCAACTCACGGGGTCCTAGAGCCAGGGCTCCAGCCTGAGCCCGAATGTCTACGCTGCAGTTAAACAGCCCATTAACCTGAGCCCCACAATCCTGAGTCAACTGGCATGGACCAGCCCTGAGTGTTTAATTGCCGTGTAGACATACCCAGGACTCTGAAAGAAAAATCTCTCCCAAGGCAGTTAATGTTGTTTTCTGTCTTTGCTTTAAGCACATTTCATCCTCATTCCTGCGGAATGGGAGGAGGCGAGAAGGGCAGCTTGTGCCAGCAGAACTTGTCATTTTTCCAGAGAAACTCCTTTTCATCACTCCACTGCAAGTGAGCAGCATAAAAGTGATTTCATCCTGGGTATTTCTCTGGCACTTATGCAGCAAAAGGCTGGGTAAGGCATCGTTATGCAATAACACCTAGGAACATAAGGTATCATTCTGGAGAAGGAGCAAAAGGCAGTGAAAACATTGATTCAATATAGAGCACTACAAAATTATCAATTACATCAGCTGGTGGGAAGGTCCACCAATGTAAAGAAGATCAGCGTTTGCACTCTGATTCAACACGTTGCTATTTAAACAGCTTGTCTTGCAGCTCCAAGTTAAAATATGCCCCTTTTGTTTTCCCCATTGTACATTTACACCTTTAGTCTGAAGAATCATAAGCCATTATAGGATCTGATATGGCAAGTCACGTGAGTAACTGGAAAACTAGTCGGGCTTCAGGATTCAGGATGCTGCAAACAGAGTTATTTACAGGCTCTGAGTCTCCACTGCCTGGTGCAGTTACTCCTATGCAAAGTGGGTGGTAATGCTTTCCACGCCCTTTGCATGGGAGTGGAGCTTAGGGGCCAGATAGGGGAGGATCAATCCCACCCATAGGCTGTACAATTCTCACCAAACCCTTTTGATTAACAAGGCTTTACATAGGGTGAAGGGAGGGAAATGCACATGCCATTTTTTAAATCATGACAGGTGCAGTTGTGTGAGCAGCTTGGGGTTAAAACACAGGGAAAATCAGCACCCGCTCACTGCATTATTTCACAGGTATCTCTAGAAAATGCAATAATATCCAAAGGCAGATCTCTCCAATCTTTGCATGGCAGTGTATCCGCAGCAACGAAAACCTTTGGATTTAAAGCCCCAGAAATTCTGCCTTTAAAGTCACAAAGTGTCCATAGTCGCTGCAACAAGGTGTGTGTGTGTGTGTGTGTGTGTTTTGACGTTAGGTCATGAAGTGTCATGTTGTGGGGCTGGCTATGGGAGTCCATCGGAATTTGTTTCTGGTAGATTTTGTCGTTCCTTCTCCAGCAAATGAACTGATTTGGGGGAGGAGGGGAACTACAGTAAACACCTGAATAAAAACAACTGCAGATGAAAATGAACGTAACTGGAAAGGGAGGGCCTGATTCTGTTCCCGTAGAAGGCAGTGGCAAAACTCCCATTGATTACATTGGGGCAGTTGGCACCGAACACTTTAGACACTGATTTATCCTTTGGGGAACAGGGGGAGGGGAAGGGTTCTGTTTATTTTAAACGGTGACGTTATTGGGGAACAAAGAGAACAAACTCCACCTCTGCGAACGATGGAAAATGAGAGGGAGATATTCTCATGTCATCCAAAGATGTCCATCTAGCTACTTTGGCTGAGATCAGAGCAGAATTGGATTCACTGCAATGATGTGCTCCCCTTGTTATGTGGGAATTTCCCCATGCCAGATGTATGCACAGTGCAAACTCCTATGACAACTTCACAGCCACAATGGCTCTCATTTAGTTAGGGAAATTCACATGGAGGCTTATTAGATTGCAAACTCCTTGGGGCAGGGACCATCTTTTTGTTCTGTGTTTATACATCTCTTAGCACAGTGGGGCCTGGTCCATGTCTGAACCTCTTAGGCTCTACTGCAATACAAATAATATTAAATATTTAATGCACACTTTGTATAGATCTAATGTTCAGGTGGGGCAAGTTCTGCATTTATCTTTCAGGAGTGCAGCTTCTGAGCCTTTCCAGCTGCTCCAAGGGTCAAGCTTCTTGAATGAATGTCATTTTATGTTAGTGGCATGAAGTTTGTCCAAAGCTAAGCGCTCAGGATGTTTCTCAAGGCCCAAGTGGCACGGCATCTTTCCTAAAAATATACTGAAAGAAACCGGTGCCATTAAAGAAAATGTTTTTCAGAAAAGATCTACTAAAGACACCAGAAGGACAGTGAAATACTGGAAATGATGGCCTCGCTAAACAAGCTGCATAGCAGTGCAAGGTACCCTCCAGAGTGTTCAGTTTATGCTGCACTGTTCCAGGGTTCTATTTTAATACTACTCCAGCCAGCGCTGTACTCCTGACATAGCCTCCTCTGAGGTCGGAGCTCAGTTTATTTCCATCCGAGGTTATTGCCCGAAAATATTCCCAGTTTCATAGTCACCACTTCCAATTCCAGCTCTTTTACATACAAGCTAATTTGACTGGCAAAACAGAACATAGAAAAGCTGCACTGAACTATATACCCTAATTTAGGAAGTCACTAAGGAAGGTGGGGCTGGTTAGAGACAATCCCAGGGTATTTTAGGAGGTCTTTTTTGTGACTCTCAGCTGCAAGGTAGTGTCCTCCTTTCAGCCTTGCCCACTTTTGTCCCCAAATCTATGTCTCTAGCCTGTAATCTCCAAAAAAAATTCCCAAACACCCATCCTCCTATATCACGGTGTAACCTGTAGACACTTTCTCTCCTTTCATGTGTAGATGAATTTACCCAACTGAATAAACTATTATGGGCTGAAGAAAATCTTCATTAATATAGTTCATTTTCCCTGCTACATAGGAAATTTTAATGCTTTTTAAATTAAATTAAATTAAAAATTTTAGCTTTTTAAACAAAGTTGATTTCCTTCCACTGCTAATCCCGCTCTAGGTTTATATCGATGCTGCGTTACACTTAGCAAAAATGTTTTCCCCGCTTCCAGTCCTACTTATGATCTAAGCCAGAGGGCAGCCAGCATGTTCTCTAGGTGGCTTCCATGAAGATTTTGCAGGGCGCATTGTGGGAGTGCTTCATTACCATGCAAGTGGGAATAGCCCCTCTTGTGGGGAACATCGGAGAACACAATGTCTTCGTCACCAATATCTATTTAGTAGATACAGTTCACATCAGGCAGGTGAGATGCTATCTGCTCTGAGCAGCAACTGCATGTAAGACCATGTAAATGAACCCAGTGCTTAAAGGACATGTACTCTCCAGCTGAGTAAAACCCACCACATGGATCAACTGATTCCACCTAACTACTGAACATCCATCTTGACACCATTCAAATTCTTACCTTTACTACTGGGCACCAGCAAGCACAGAGGCTGATATCAGTAATGGGTTAACCACAATATTCCCTTCTGCAGCTACACCACAAGCACCGCCAGTATGATGGGGAAAGACTTTTGTGACATTTTTGATACCTAGCTGAGGGAAAGGTGCTTTTCTCCCCTGCCCACAGTTGTCTGCCACTTTGAGTTGCATCAAAGTTAATGTATGAGTTGGTGATAGTGACAGATAATGAAATAATCTTTCTTCACCACTTCATTCCCTGTGCTTCCAGAGGCCATCAATCTTGCACAAATATGCTAGTTTTCAGTAACCCCTAATTTTTATGGCCTCGCTTTTATTTCTCTATTTTCCTCTGTATCTCCATTAGTGGTGAGTTACATGACCCACTTTTGACTATTGGGGTATACTTCCCCATGTTTCTTTACACTCTATTTCATGCCCAATAAGGGCCTGAGTCAAAACCCACTGAAGTCAATAGGAATCTTTCCATTGACCACGGTGGGTTTTGGATCAGGCCCCCAGTGTTTAGATCTTGGTCTTAACTTCCTATCCTGGTGTTTCTTTAAGGGCTTGATGCTGCAGTAGTTTTTTTTTTTTTTCAAGCAAAACTTCCCATTTGAGTCCATAAGAATCTTGTCTGAGTAAGCAAGGAATGAAGCATCAAGCCTTAGCAAGAGCGTAAGTTCTCTAAATGTTCTGATATTTGTTCAGCATTAGTCACGCTGCACATCAAGGCCAGCTGACAGGGGATAGAAGCATTATTTACTGGTTGTGTCTGTGTGTGCATCCTTGCCAGCTGTCTTCTGACTTCTCCAATCTCTTTTCTCACTTCAGACTAAGGGTGTTATTCCTCAAACATGTCACTGACCCCAGAGACTGATCTGACCCAGCTTCTTCCTCAGCTAGAGCTTGAATTAGCATTGTCCCAAACTCAGCTGCACGCAAGAGTTCCACACACCATGTTGTAAGCAGTATCGGATTTCAGGGTCGCTAACTCAGGCCACGTGTGCTGCCCTATCTGCCCCTTCTCTCCGCTTGCCGGAGAAGGAGTGTTTCCTAATGCAGCGTAGTGCTTACTGCAATCCAGCATGTGGAAAAACAAAACCAAGTAAAAAGTTAAGCTTCTTTTTTGCAGCTAAATGTCTATTTGCTTTTCTACTTCGAGTGGTCTAGCCTGTCCAGCTATATCTACACTCAGGACGCTTCTAAAAACGTCTCATCTTCACTGATACCAGCTTGACTCCACTGGTATTAGCAATATTGGGAGCCAGAGCACAGACAGGCCACTCGTGCTTTTTTCTTTTAAGTACCAAGTCCTCTATTGCTGCTCAGAGCAGGGCTAACTGGCATAGTACTTAAAGTATCAGTGACAGAAAGTGGCCCACCTAAACTAGGGTTTCTCAATGTTTCTAACACTGGTAAAAATAAGCCACTGGTTCCAATGGTGGAAATTTTTTAAAATGTCTCCAATGCAGACCAGGCCTATGGCTCCCAGTTGACTCTCATTGAAAGTGATGGAAGGAATCCCATTTGAGTCAATGAGTGTTCTGTTGGGTACTAGTCAGGATCACAACAGATCCCATATTTAAACATGGTGACACTAGGAGTATTTCCTCCAGCAATCTGACTCTCAGGAAATGCCCAAACAACCCAGAATACATTTTCTCATTAGCTTTCAAGTAAGTCAAATACATTTCATATATAAAACATTTTTATTAAAACAAATGTACAACACTTTTTATATACACAACTATGTACAGGAAAATGCTCAGTTACAATTAGTGATTTGATGTGTTTCCAGATATTTAAGCATAAATCAAAATGACCTCCCTCCTTTTTGTACTTTGTATTGCTCTGCATAGGCTTATAGCTTTTGGTTCTCTAATGATCTTCTCTACACAATTCATTGGGTATATACTGTACATGGTAGTCTATGTACTCTATTGCAATGAAGAGCATTAAGTTGGCTTGAAAGAGCATGAAAGGCACTGTATAAATAAAGTGTTATGCCCATCAGTGCAAAAATGTATGGGTCCCAAAGTGTGGCTGCTCTTTCATAATTATTAAATGAAAAATTGGTAGACGACCTGCATAATGACAACAGAATAGAATGTCCTATGAGCAGATCTTCTGAACAACTGTAATACGTAGAAGCAAAGCCTGTAGCTGATTTTCACATTTTCTTGGACTAAACATATTTACAAAAGTGAGGAATTTGATTTGTCGATCAAACGTGTGCTGGAGTGATCAAAGGAAAGAGGGTCAATTAGTGCAATTTTTGTTGAATCCAAAAATCTGTAATGATTGTCATCAAGCTCAAAAGTACTTCACCAGGTATGTAGCAACCAGAGCTAACATGAATAGGCACATTTACCCTGTGCCCCCTAAGCACTGGCTTGGTAAAGGAGAGTAAATGAAACTGTAGATGATCTCCTCCAAAAACAGCGCTTTTAATTATAATATGAAACACAGAGAGAGAAATGGGGATCCTAGCCCAGCTTCTACTGACCCACAGCACCTTTCACTTGTATCCCAACAAAAAGGTCAGAACCCCATTTGACATTAATGTAGGAACAGCTTCACATCAGAAGCAATTTTAAGTTTTATAGGACAATGGCTTAGTCAACCAACGTCAATGCACACAGTTCTGCTAAAGTTTTTTTAATAATGGAGTTTTGATGGTTCGATCTGTTCAGTCCCAGAAGCTAAACGGAAAGTAGAGGTTCTTTTTTTCACTCAGTCAGTAACAAACAAATGCCTTCCACTCTGCTCACTTTCATGAGGAACAGGAGAAGTAAAGCAGTTCACAGTCTGAGGAAGCAAAAGAGGATTACAAGCTACATGGCTTGTATACCAGTGGATCGAACTGTGTCCAGCCAAGAGAATTCTAGATTGCTTTTCAGATCAGTACAAAATCTGAACTCTATTTCCCCTAAAAAAAGAAAGAAAGAAAGAAATGAGAAGAAATTTACTATGTGCAGCAGCAGCAGCAAAATATTGAATGTATATTAATAATACTATAGTGAAATTTAAACACTGTTCAAATGATCTCTGACTAAAATTGAATATATCAGCAAGATTTTTATCTTAAAAATGCTTTAAATTTGCTGAAATCCTTATTACAACTTTTTTTTTTTTTTAAACATTCTCACTGGCCATATGGCTAGGTAACTTTAACACTGGAAACTGACACATATTCAAAGTAATCTGTAAGGCTGAAATGGAAATTGAGTTAAGCACGTATTTCTGTGAATTCCCACTAATTGAGCCAAGCCTGCATATAAACGTAACTTTTAAACACAAATTTGTGGTACATTTTCAAGTACAAATTGTCTTAAAAAATCCCCAGCAAACTCCTTCAATTTGAAATTAACATGCTGGTCAGAAATCTCAAATAAAACAGAGTAATGCATGAACTGCTCTATTCTTTTTGGTTTTCCACCCAACTTAAGTCATCTTGCCTAAAGAGCTTAATCTGCTTCTCCCTCTGCCTCTGGTTGCATTCTCAGTAACTCTGCTTCAGAAATTAAGGTATTTGTACCTGAGGTTGTATCTATTTCAGAATCTTGCTCCTTGTAGCTGAAGTTGCTGCAAATGTTTTGTGTGCCGGGCTCATTGGTGAGATACCCTTTCCCACCGACACTGGTTGCATGCCAGTCTTGTTGTTCAAACAGCTGTAAGAGATGAAGGGGAAGGTTTGAAATGTGCAGGCCTTACAATGTTCAAGAAAAGAAACCAAACCTGATTGGACAAACAGATCAGCATCAACAATATTTCCTACAAAGGGCTGATGATGCCAGCAGGCATTGCAGTTAAACTTAAGGGCAGATTTCATCATGATGTAGATAACTATGAATACACATCATAAAACGACCTCACAATTTGCTGGGATTGTTAATTTTCACGCAAGAGAGCTAACACTGGACTAGCATAAGTACTGCAGATCAGTACTGAGGACCCCTGTAGGGAAGCTCGCACAAAACCTACCCACACTATGGTTACTGCTAATAGCCCCTCACTTTCATAAATGCTAAACCTTGCTCATACATGTAAAATTCCTATTAATTTAAGTAGGGATCACAGAACACATGCCTAGAGAACACCCCAAGAAAGAAGGTGCTTATAAATAATAGTGATTAATGTGTTACATGCCTAGATGTATAGCTAAATTGATTTAAATGCACCACGTTAGCTGGGGGTATAGAAGAGATTCCTTCTAGAGTGTAAATGTCTTCTCAGTCTCTGATCCATCACTAGGCTTTTCAATGTTTGTCTCTCAAATGGTACATGTGCTCTCAAAGTGACAGAAGAATATAAAGTATTTCCACCTGTGTGTGTTCTCCATATTCTGGCTGTACACAGGATTTTTATTTACAAGTACACCTAACTCTGTTTATATGTTTTGTTTTCTCCTCCTCCCTTGATACAAATAGCAACTTATTCAATATTATTCTGAAAAGAAGAAATAATCTTTTTACCTTGTAAAGTTGCTCTCTCATTTCTTCTGCATCATCATCTGTTACTGTTAGGTTTTATGAAGACATGGGGAAAAGACGAAAACATGTTTCCATTAACTCGGTGTCTTCACTGGCAAAAATCACAGATCAGCTTCCCAGCTTTTCCATTCAGTTATCACCAGAGGCTACTTCACGTTTTCTATTGACATAATAGCACTAAAACATCTTATAAGCCAGGAGATTCAGGGTCACTTCTGCCACCTCTATGGGTAACAGGAAGCCTTACGAATTTCTGCAGGCTATAGACATCACCACTCTAGGAAACTCTGAGCCCCTTGTGTACCCCTCCTCCTGCAGTGATGTGACATGGTTTTGGGGATAGATCACATCAGAGGAGTGGACAGCTGATCCACAACTGGAGGCTTCCATCGCTCTCAAACTTCCCCTGTCCTCTTATAAACCCAGTTTCTGTTAGAGGTCATGGACTTCAGTGACAGTTGTAGGCTGGCTATGCATCTGCTCTACACCCTCCCAGCAGGTTGGGGGAAGAAATCTTTCCCCCTGGAGCTCTCCAGTACAAAGCACTGTGCAACAATGAACCATGATCAGAGATCTCTTCCTTACCCCTGATGGTGACACCTTTATACCTGGAAGTGAGTAGTCTGAGACATGTTATATCCCAGCACAGTTCAGGCAGCTAATGAAAATATTTTTCATCCAAACCTTCAGTCCCTGTGCCCTCAAAACTGCCAATGACTTCAGCAAGAGTTTTGCACGTATAAGAGATGCAACATAAGGCCCTTCAACTTTAACAAACTAAAGCTTTTTGTTTTTGTAATAAATTTCACTACAGATGAGTAGATCCCATTAACCCTGGAACGCATCCTAGATCTTGCCACTTGTACAAAGGGCCTATTGTTTTTTCTGGCACCCCATGCAGCTTCATGTCTTGCTTCTGCCCCTGAAACCATCAGTGGTAGGATTATTTCTATCTGGTTGACCTGAGGTTTCAACCAATAAAATACCAACCTTCAGAAGATGAAGCCAAAGGTGACACTTGAAGGTGGTAAAGGTCGTTGGTGCTGTCAGCCATTGCTATTTCCATTGGATTTCTCCAATCTGTCAGTGCATTCATATCACACGGTGAGAGATCTGTGGAATGCACAGAAAGGAAGAGTTAGAATTTTTAGGAAATGCAAAGGCTTTCTGATTCGGAATAGCCTCCAGTCCCTCATGGCCCATTCTACAGCACATTGCATATATCCCATTATATAGCTGCCAAGGAAAAGCCACCGTTACCGCTGATTATGAGGCTGAGATCTCCTATACTGGGGTTTGGTAAGTGCAGCACATTCTGCTAAGTTAGAAGAACTAAAATTGAATCTCACCTAGGGTGATGGAAGCGTTCTCAATCTCCACTTCTTGTTCTGCATAGCTGTGAACTGTATAACCACTGTGGTCATCTGGTAGACTGCTGCTGTTCAGTGCTTCTATTGCCTCATCCATCCTCGGGTCTTCGTATGTCTATAAAGACACGTGCATTGAATGAAAGACCTACTAGACCAAGTTGTGATCTATTTGTTCCTGTCTGTCAAAAATTCAAAGCAAACCTCTGACTTCTTTAACTGCCAGGGTCAATACATACCTTTCTCTTACTCCTGTTTTTTGACTCTCTAGATGACTTTGACTTCCTTTCTGTGAAAGCAAAAACACGGTGACCATGAGAAAAAGCCTGCAGCCACTTCAGATGGCTCCAATCATACACGACCGCAATTGCTCTGTGTAGTAATGCTTTGCGCTGCAAGGGGCATGATCGTGCTCTGGGAGTTTCACCATTGATTTCAGTGACAGCAGTGACTGCTGTATTCTTCCCACCCCACCCACTTCTCACAGAAGTGAGAGGAGCGCACTTCTGTGCCTGATGAAGTGATCCCATTAGGGGTATTGTGAGAATGAATTAATTTTCAAAAAAGTGCCATGAGATCTTGGGATGAAAGGAGCTCTACATCCAAAGTAATATTTAGCAACAGTAATAAGACTGCCTATTCACAGCAATACTTTACTTCTATCAAGGAATTTATACTGTACCTATTCACAAGCAGAACAGGAAACGTAAACAGACTATAAACTGCAGTAATGGTCCCCTTAAGGCAAAGTATTTTGAGGATAGGCTATAATACACATACCTTTTTTCTGAAGCTTTGTTAAGGGTGGTAGCATCCTGTAAACCCGGACTGCGCTGCAGCCTTTGTTGACACTTTTGTCCTTCACTTCCTCAATATCAGGCAGTGAATTCATGGCACAGCGGAAATTTGCCTTCCAAGTTTTGGGGTCTGGCGCTTTCTCGCCTATCTTGTATCTCCCTATAAATAAAGGATGGTGCGTAAATATTCAGAATTTTCAGACTACTCTGCAGTGATCGTTCCCAAAAGAATTAGTTTGTGTTCCATTCTTCAGTCATATAAGGCAGTCAATATAGTTACATGGGATGTAGATTAGCGTAGAATTAGGCTCTACCTGTTTATGTGATAGACAGAATTTAAAAACAAGCACGTACCAGTATGAATGGCCCAGCTCCGGAAAAGGCAGGCATCTTTATCTATATCCCAGCCATGTTTAGCTGCATGTTTCCATGGGATTTGGAACATCATCTTATCCTGTAGTTAAACAATGCAGTTTTGAATACAGGGAATATAACATACACCCACTCGTGACTAAATATGGACTTAATCCAAGATAATTCAGCCACGCCAAGGGAACTCTGCATTAAGTCTGCCACCAGATTCCTAAAGTAGGATTCACTTAGTACCATATTATGTGCTACATCCCATATAACGTTCCCCAAGGGTTCTGAGTTTCAAAGAGCTGTATAACAAGATATAATAGATATGAGGGACACTGTCAGCCTCATCTCAGAACTACCTTGGTCTGTTGGTTTGTCTCTGATCCTTATGTTTATTATAAAATTGTGTCTTTCTCTGTCTGCACAGAATCTTTTTAAAAATTAACAATAAGGACCTATGGACACCATAAGAAAAATATTTCCTACAGTGCAACATAATAATTTAGCTCAGATAGCTCCTTTCATATGCGCTTCAAGACACTTTACAGTTCAAAATATTCAACGAGCAAAAAGTCCTGAATCAATGAGGATAAACCTAAACAATCTTATTGTGGGTGCGTGTCATATGGCTGTAATTCTCAATGAAGTGGTGGGCATACAGTATTGAAGTCAATGGTTCAGGTGCTCAGTATCTCTCAAGATTTGGTGAGACTAGTCAATCATTCAGTGGTTGAGACTGTAACACTGATTCCTTAACTGAGATAAATGACTTGACAGAGGCAGATCTCAGATGTTCTTGGCTCCCAATGTTATGGCCTGACTGCTCTCATTTTTTTTCCTTCCTAGTACTTCCCCTATAAAAGTATGGTCTACTCCATTCATCATTGATCAATTACAGCTACTGTTTTCTGAAAACAAAAATGCTGTTTTATATAGTGTGTGTAAACTCTTTCCATTTTCTTTTAATCTATTTATGTGACCTTGATTTTTATATAACATCAGCTAAGAATACCAGGATGAGGATGATTAAAGATACAAAAGTAATGACAAAGAGACCCACCTTGTTGATCCACACCAATCCTGGTATTTGATTGGAATTAATCTGCAACTCCAGCCAAGGCCTCATGCGCATTCTTGTTACTGGCATGTTGTCTGTGAAAGGAAAATAATAAATACAGGTAAGCAAAAGAGTAAATATTCTGGTATGCTGGTCATTTTGTAATGACATCCCTCACTCCTTACTCTTAACACTCGTAGTAATGGGCAGTATGCATTCAACAAAACCAAAACTTGGCCCAGAATCAATAAACAATTTCTCTTCCGACATCTTGGCAGTTTCTGAATGGCAATTTTTGTTCTAATCTGGCTACATGATCCCTTAAGTAGATAAGTAAAATTATTGAATTTGGGAAACTGGATGGCTCCAGAGGTTAGTACTGGGATGCAGAGCACTTCCCATCTAGGGTCCCATTCAGAACTCAGCCCTGCAGCGAGAGAGAAGTATTACTCTAGGTGCTGTTTGGTGGCTTACCTGAAAAGAGTTTGGTCTCAAACCTTCACCCAGTGAGCAAATTGCCACATCTCACAAGCCTCTCACACCTCTGGTTCTCGGCCTCCCAGGCTCGGTGCAGAAGGCAAGGAGTCAGAGATTCATGGACTCTGAACTCTCTCTTTGCAACCACAGTGTTAGTCACTCCAAGCTGTGGCCAAGGCATGCTGGCAGGGCAGTGTGAGTTGCTAAGTCCTGTGCTGCACTTGTCCTGTGCCATACCAAAGGATGGATGTCAGTCTCCAGGGCTATCACACCTGCACATCTCCTGAACAAAAAATTCTTAAGTCTTTGTACCTGGGAGAAGGGGCGTGTGCATGTGAAGCGTGAGTGTTAGGCTCCAGAGGAAGTATAGTCTAGCAAAAAAATTCTTTCTGAGGGAGTGTCTTTGTTACTTGTCTTTTCCTTGCCACTTATTTCAGTGCCAAGTTTCCCCTGTTCTTAATGTTTACCTTTTCAAAAAAACCAACAACATTGCAGTAGATTAGTCTATAAACATTACACTCTGCTACAAATTTCTCCTTACACTAAGACCTACTGGCATAAATATTATTTCTTGTCTTGTTTTTTATATGAAAATATCAGCATTTCCAAAACAATAGAATTCAGCATTTTACAAATCCTAGACCTTCCTCGACAGCTTCAGGGGGCTGGCAGTGGGGTTAAGCTTACGTAACCCAACTCCCCTTTATAATGGGAGAGGAGATCAAATAAATACTTTCTCCAAGTTAACATGCAGCTTTTCCACTGGGCTCCTCTTTTCCTAGAACACATTCCTGCCTGTATGGCCTCCATGTGGACATTAGCAGTTAGCTTTGGTGCTAGGATAGGCTTAAAGAAGGGCTGCAAAATTGAACTCAAGGAATGATGCTTGGAGCCCTATTGTAAAACACAGTTAATTAGATAATTTCAAGCCAGGAGCGGTTCTTGACTTTGACTAAAAAAGCCTCAGTTGACATTACTTTCAGCTTTATGCAGCTCCTTCATACTTAATGACAAGTATATAAACTGAAACAGGAATGCAATGTTTGTGACTGAAAATAGCATTACTAAACCCTGGCAAGCAATCCTGAACAGCAAATTATATTTATGATGTAATGTGTCTGATAATAGCATCCTGAGGCCCCAATCGCAATCAGGTCCTCCGACACATATACAGAAAGGCATGGGGCCCTGTCACCGTATGCTTACTGTTCCTCATGGATGTATTGACACAATAGATTATGCTAACATGAAGAAATGTTATGCAATATTTTCATTCCTAAGCAGCCAATAACTAAGGTTTCTGACTTCCACTCTCACTACCTACCCCGTTGGGCAAATTATAATACAGAATGTTGTACTTTTCTCCATGACCCTTGTGTTACTCAGATTCAGATGGGTTTATTAAGCATGCTTGCATTCAGCATTTCCTTGCACTGGGAGGTGTAAAGTTAGAGCTTTGCCATTAATTTCACACAGTTTGTGAGTGTTCATTTTACTTATCATTGGTTTTGTGAGACTAAAACAATGCCATCAACTGTGCTAGCTCCAAAATTCGTGCGGTGATTTTTTGTTTAAACTTGTATTTATATGCGTATTTATACAATATATATTTCCAAAATACATTTCAAAATACATCCCGCGATCTTATATTTCTCTAGCTAATAATTATTCACCTGAATTTCACACACTTAAATGTTAATTTGCAACATGGCTCATTGAACAAACAATCCTCAAATTCACTAAATAATAAAATACAGCAGTCACCTCTTTTGTGGCCAGTTCTGCAAATGCCTGAAGATTTGACTCTTTATTTGTTGGTCCCACAGATCTTTCCCCATAAACCTTGACTATTTTTAGCTTTTCCCAACCTCATCTGCATTCAAATGCTTTAATTCTCTCTGCTGCCTATGAACGCTGCTCTCCGGTGTTGAAGCCAAAAGCATGATTTTATTTTCAGCCTTTACTTCCTGTGTATCAGAGAGCAGCAACAGCACCCTTTGTTGTCACACAGTTGCTCGTATTTGTCTCAATCTCTTCCCCCACCCTCACCTCAGAAAGCAGTCCGATGCACAAGCACAGAATTAGAGGTGCTTCTTACTTTGTCTTTGCATAACTGTACATACAAGTAAAAGCAACAACAAACCCTTTCCTCCCTAACAAGATAAATTCTGTCGCCAGAAAGTGACTGAACCTCTTACGTGCACAGCCGCTAAAGTTTCCGCAAATTCGCTAAACTCCTCGTTTACCAGTTCAGAAGTTGATTTGCAGGGCTAAAGCCATTTATTGCATCTTACTTGCCATGCAAACTTCCTGCGACTGATCTCTGCTCTCTGTCCCCTGGCTCACACGACTAAATACTCATTGCATCCCTTGTCTTGCCAAGCCTCCGTAGACAAGCTGCTTTCCTACTATTTCCTTGTTGGCCTCCCTGATTACAGGACCGAATGCAAAGTCCTGCAAAGTCCCGCAACTCTAGTTCCCAAGTTGTCCTGCACCGAGTGCTCTTGGCAGGAGCGGAGAGCAGGAGACTCTTGGCAGGAGACTCGACGGCTGTTAGCTGCACCAGGCGTGGACCCACCTTGTTCGCCGGTCTCCAGTGCACAGCCTTGCAAAGGTGCCCGGTGAGCCGGTAGATCCGCCTCCCGTGAACGACCCGCGGCTTCTGCAGGCTGCGCAGCGGAGTGGTCTCAGTATATCCTTACACTACCCGGGATTCCCCACCACCTTGGCCAGAACGTCTCCTGCCGACCAATCAGCATTCGCCCAAGGGCTTTACTGGGCTCCGCCCGCCGCTCATTGGCTGGCTGGCGAGCATCATTTCGGGGAAATCAGGCTGTTGTAGCGCTAGAGCTGAAGGGGAAGTACGGCTCCCCCTCCCCCGCCCGTCTCCCTGCTGCTCCCTGGGTGTGGGAGCGGAGGGATGGGGGTGAGAAGTGAGAGGCGGCTTAGGAGCCCTCTGAAGCTGCCTCCCCACCCACCGTGCACCCATCAGTGTCACAGGAGCAGGTGGATTCCCATCCCACCCCCGTCCCTATCCCTGGGGGTGGGGGGGGGGACAGGGTCTGGGTCCCACTGTCCCAGTTTCTCTAACTGGTCACACCCATCCCTGTACTTCTGAGGGGCTGGAATCCAAATAGGGATCTGGGTGCTGTGTCCCGCTTTCAGCTCTGGGCCCCTTTTGCGTGGTCTTTGGAGCACGGATCTTGTCTCTTGCGCACCTTTATGCAGTGCAAGGTGTGTTGGCATTACTGGTGAGACCCTGTGCTCTGGGTGCCTTCCATCTGAGGATCTCCAAGCACTACACGGACACTAGTGAACTAAGCCTCATAACCCCCGCGTGTGGCAGGTGTTATGCCCATTTTACAGAGAGAGAACTCAAGGCATAAAAGGTTAAATGACTTGTGCAAGCTCCGAGAGGCACAGCTGGAAATCAAGAGAACTTGGCGCCTAGTCCCATGCTCAGCCCACTAGATCAGCTCCCTCTGCATAAAATCTTGCATGCTAATATTACCTTTCATTCTAAAGGCTCCTAAAGCGCTTAACAGACCGACTAGGATGCTACACACAAGGATTGTTGAATCCACCCCTGAAATGTGGCAGTAGAGGTGTCAGGGGAGAGCAACAGCTTGTCTGAAAGCACATAACACTAACAATTTAGAACAGGAAATGAATGAAAATACTGCATACAGCTGAAATTGCAAAAAACCCTGTTTAGCCAGGACTTAAGGGTTAACATTCCGAACTCTTGCAAAAAGGGTAGTGGGACTGTAACCAACTGGCAAGGATCGATGCTGTTTTAACGTCTCATTGAAGAGACTGCCCCTTAACACCATTCTAGGGCATCAGTTTAGTACGAACTAGAAAGAAAGACTCACTGATAACACAGTTCATGACTCCTAAGGTGGACCTTGTAACCATGTATATAGTTAGTCAATATTAGAGTTACATAAGAAAGTATGTAGCAGCACCTGAAATAAAAAGCAGCTATGATGACCAGTGGAAACCAATCAAGAAGAAGATATCAGGAAAAATGAATGTGTGGGGAATGTTCCTGATTTCCTTTTTTCTTTTTAAAGTTTTGTACCATGTAGTGATAGCTAAAAGCCTGTTTGCTCAGTTTCTTGAGTCAACGTAATGTGAAGTTACTGGTGTGTCTTTAAAATGGCATAAGCAGATACAATCAATCCATCTTAGTAAGGGTCTGATCCTGAATTAACTCAAAACTCAAACCCTAGCAGTGTTGAATGTTCAGGGAATGCACATTTGGGTCTAAAAGAAGCAGGTAGGGGCCTCTGTGAATGCAGGCACCAAACAAGTCTCTGTGTACACTATAAAAATAATTAAGTCAGGGGAGCTGCTTATAATATAGTCCCCACCTGGTGTCACTGGCAAAAAGTGGTAGTGTAGACAAAACTTGACCGTGCCCTGTGACTAGTTTAAAAACCTGGACAATCTTAATTGGGTCCTTTAATTAGGTTATAGTTGAAACATAGATGGGGTCTTACTTTGTTGTCTCTGTTCATAAAACTCTTAGTTGAAATCTGGTCTTAGTCTTTCACTCCCATAGGGTTATAGAACATTGCTTAGTTCTCCCATGAGTCCCAAGACACTCTTTACTTCCACAGCACCCATCTGCCAGGTGATACATACAGTTGCTTGTAGCAAAAATTTTAAAATTCATCCTATGTATCCGCCCTCCTAAGCTATCACTATGGGGGAGGAGGAGGGACTGGAAAACAAGGACACTTTGCAAACACTGGGAAAGAAAGCACCCGGGGACGGTCTCTCCAGCTTCGGCAGTGTGTCAGGGATGTGTTGCTTTGAAATAACTATCCTAAGGAAAGAAGGGTGACCATTTTTTGTCCTCTTGTATGCCTCTGGGCAGGTACAGGAGTAGGTGAGGACTTGATTCACACCACTGAAGTCAAGGAAAGACTCCCGTTTATTTTGAGAGAGTTGGATTGGGCCCTGAGAGCAGCACTGGGTATGCTGTTTTGATAGGTGACTTGATTCGAGCAAAGAGTGAGGTAATTTTGAAATGTCATTAGTCATTTCATGCTAGCATTTTAATGGTCCCCAAGTAAGGTATGAAGTTCACATCTAAGAGGAAGGTAGATTTGGGTTGTTTTGTTGTTTTTTTTTTCAAATCTAGGTTAACAGCATCTGCCTGTTGTTTTCATGATGAAAAACATAAGCATACTCTTTAAAAAAAGTAAAGCTTAGATTCTAAAGAAAGAAGCAAAAATCAGAAATCTCTTAATTTTTTATCTTATAATTTTATTATTATATATTGTTTAACATTTATGCTATGGTAGGACCTTCATGCCAGCCAGGTCAGAGCCTGTTTTGTAAGGTGCTGTACAAACACACAGAAAATGACAGTCTCTGCTCCAACGAGCTTACAGTCTAAAAGACCAGGCCTAACAGGTAGATGAGACAAATGAGCAGGTCAGTACGGAGACAGGGAGACAAGGCCGCAAAAATGAGATGGTGTGTGCAATTCTTCCCCAATCGGGGGCAACAAACACATTCTCCACTTCCAGACAATGAGCTACAATTGATCTGAAATGCTGTAACATTCAATTCTAAAGGTGACCTGCAAAGAAGGAGAAAGTTTATTTACCTTTTTTCACTGACTTGTGTTGTGTAAAGCTGGCCTGAAAGATTTGTTTGTTTTATCTTAAAGCCCTGTTTTCTGCTCACTTGTAAACTTTAGAAGTACCAGAATGACCTTCTCTGGCTTTGCTGGAGGTGTGGAGGTCTTTAGAGAGAGAGAGAGATGATGAGTTTTAGATATATAGGAATTGACATTCTGGATTAGGATAGTATCCTATCACCACCGATAGTGGCTAGTACCATCTGCTTCTGAGGCGGTTACAAGAAACCTACAGGCAGCAGTTATGCAATTATCTGCCCACAGGGAAAATTTCTTCCTAAAGGTTCCATTAGAGCAGTAGTTCTCAACATTTTTTTCTTTGCAGACCCCTAAAAAATTTTGAATGGAAGTGCAGACCCCTCTGGAAAATTTAGACTTAGTCTGCAGACTCCCAGTGGTCCACAGACCACAGGTTGAGAACCACTGCATTAGAGGTTTGGTTTTTGCCTTGAAGCATGAATGCTTATATTGCTTCCAAAAACTATTTTTTAAAAATTCTTACTATTGTATCATTTTTCTCATCTCTGAACAGAGGGGCTGGAGATGTTGAACTTTGAACGAAAACATCTTTTCTCTGAGTTGTTTCTCAGGCATTTGAATTTAACAGATGTTAACAAAAGCAGGCATGCAAAACAAGAGCTGTAAAGAGGGTAAATATAAATCACTTATTATCTGAACTAATTAGGGTTCATTTACATAGTGGGTTTTATGTCATCCTATGTATGTCCAGTCATCCAATAGTCTTTTGGGGGGGAAAAGTAATAGTATTAGGAAAACATTACAAGCTTCTTTATACATAATAAAGATTGGGAAAAAAGGGCACAAATCTCTCCCCCTCCCCCCCCTTTTTGCAGGTCAATTTAAGAACGGCTATTCTGGGCCTTTCAGGTGTGGTGGGCCAGTATTCTTCAATACTACATGTGACTGTGTTTTGAGCAGCTGCGCTGTTTGGTATGTGGGGTGCAGAATGTAATCTTCTTTGCTACGTATTTTAAATCTATAAACTCATCTAGAGCTGTGAGTAGGCACTTACAGTAGGAATCAAAATAAATGCAGAGTAGGAATGCACAAAGGGAGAGTAACACCTTGATCCCAACTCTGCTCTTGCTTACAAAGAGTTAAATCAGCAGTAACTTCTCTCAGTGCAATGCAATTTAAGTGAGAGTAGAATTTGGCCCATACATCCCACTCAGAGTGACTGCAAAGGATTTTACCCAAATCAGGGTGGTGCTTGTTTTGTTTCATTTGTTTGCTTCTTTCCGGTGCCTGGGACCAAGAAATAAAAAATCAGATAAAAAACCCTTTGTATGTTATACTGTAATTAGACTCAGAGAGAACTAAACTCCTATTTTCCATTCCTATTTATATACTAAAACACTAACAACCCTACTCAATACAAAAAACAAAACAAACAAAAGTGCTTAGGGTAATTACTGAACAATATAGTTAACACAGTAAAAATTACAAACATGGGGACACTGTGCATATTTACACAAACCAGCAAACACTGTGTGATCAACACACTTCGAGAAACAGATGGATCATTCATAAAAAAGTATTCTGCTCCACATCGTGGAGAAGCGCATGTTGTGTACAGTAAGAAGATCTAACAATTCACACATTGCTTAATGTACCCAGAAACTACATTCCTTTGTCCTACTTTATTTGATATTGAATTAGCTTAGGCACCTGTATGGCCCCATTACTGTAGTATCTGAGCACCTCCTAATATTTAATGTATTTATCTGCATGCACCACTGTGAGGTAGCGTAGACCTATTATCATCACTTTACAGATGCAGAATTGAGGCCCAGAAAGACTAAAGGCCAAATTTTTAAAAACCGGCGCAAAATACCTTTAAAAGTCTAGCCCTAAATGACTCACCCAAGGTCACACAAGCAGTCTGTAGCAGAGAAGGGAATTGACCTCAGCAGTTCTAAGTTGCAGGCTATTGCCTTAACCACGGGGCCATCCTCTTGAGTAAATAATCAGCAGCGTACTTCAGTCCTTGTCCTCAGAGGATGCCTGCACACCACCTTCAAAAGATGAGCATGGGAACTTAAATTCCTAACAGAGACACTGGTTTTATGGCTCACTGCAACAACTTGTAACACGCCCGACTGGCTACTAATCCTTTGCTGCCCACTTCATTGTAAGTGGTCTTCTACAGCGCCCCACGTGAACCTCTTGTGCTTAACAATCTGACCCATCTTGTCTTTCATTCAGACACTCTGGTTACCTTCTCCAGACCTGAGGAAGAGCTCTGCGAAGCTGGAGAGCTTGTCCCGGCTACCAATAGACGTTGGTCCAATAAGATACTGCCTCATACCGTCTATATGTATCTACATAGGGAACAAATATTTAATAATGAGCTCTTCAGTCGAGCAGTGACAGGTATAACACGATCCAAGGCTGGAAGTTGAAGCCAGACAACTTCAGACTGGAAATAAGTTGTAAATTTTTGATAGCGAGGGTAATTAACCGATGGAACAATTTACCGAGGGTTGTGATGGATTCTCTATTGCTTCTAATTTTAAAATCCAGATTGGGTGTTTTTCTAAAAAATATACTCTAGGAATTATTTTGGGGGAAGTCTATGGCCTGTGTTATACAGGAGGTCAGACCAGATGATCACATTGGTCCCTTCTGACCTTGGAATCTAGGAATCTACCTTGTCTCTAGCATAACTCAATGACAGAACAAAACAAGGAAGTAATGCTAAGGCTGAAGGGGCAGCATGAGTCAGGTGATATGATCATGAGTAATGGAGGATTACATGATTCTGGCAAGCTAACAGGATCCCTTATCAGTGCACGTCCCGGTGTGCTAATATTATTTTTAATGAAGGTGTTGATTTTTTTTAAAAGGAAAGGATTCTTTTGGCAGGCAGAGTGTCAGCTGCCATCACTGAAACACATTGTTAATTTCAACCCTATATGATGAAGTTTTTTGCTTGTGACTTCCCTTTTTCTTTAATGGCACCAACAGTTTGAGTCTTGTTGGCATAGAAGGTCTGCAGAGGGGACACTTGCTCTGACCAGTTGAATGAGGCCTGCCAGTTCAGGGCTTCCCTCCTGCAAGCGTGAGCAAGTCCATAGAAGGGACCTGTGCGTGTGTGATTTTGGTGGGGATAATAAGTTACAGTGGGGTGGGACATGGGGTTAGAGGATAGTGTTAGGGACAGAGGCTTTATCCACATGGAAAATTTCCATGCCACTCACCAGACTGCTGTGAGGGGACCTAGCAGCTGCATCCTGAATGTTTTAAGCCTCCAGAATCTGAACAGGCACTGTCCCTGTCTTTGCACTGGAATCTACAGCATTATTGTTCTTTACTTAATCAGAGGAGAAATACATAGATCTATACACAAATAATAAACCCTACACACCTCTCTCTGCTTCAACTTCCTCACCACTCTGAAGCACTCGTTGGGCTGGGGTCAGAGTCCTTTGGGATCCAGAGTTCTCTCCACCAGTGCATAGTTTGTGTTCTGAAACATCATGCCTTCTCCTCCCAGCTCTTCTTCTCTGACCTTGGCCTGTCTGTCCCATGCCCTCTCCTGCATGTCTCCCTGAGTTGTTTTATAGCCTCCTGCTTTGGTCACCTCTCTCTGTTCTGCTTGGAGAATTTCCACTCTCCAAAGCCCCACCACTGCAGATCACTTGGACAAACTTGTTTCCCTACTCAGACACTTTTTTAAGTAACTGTTGTATGGTCAGAGCACAGTCATAAGGTTGACCACTCACCATTGTCCGTGGTCTGGAGAAGACATGATACAGCCTTTTCAGCAATGGGGGAACCCACAGATACAGAGGGGCATTCATGATGATAAAGCAGTTTTCATGCTAACAACTTCCTAATAACCAGAATTCATAAAGTATACATAGCTTCCCCAAATCATCAAACATCCTGTCTCCTTCCCCCCCAAATCCTCCATCACCTGACCCTTTCTATGCCCACCAACACCCAGTTTTCCATTCCCCCACCCTCCTTTTAAGCACCTGTCTGACTTCCCCAGTCCACCCACCTGTCACCCTTCTCCATGCTCCTCACAGGTCCCGTGCAGTTTCCGAGTCCTTTTAACATATATCATAGAATCATAGAATATCAGGGTTGGAAGGGACCCCTGAAGGTCATCTAGTCCAACCCCCTGCTCGAAGCAGGACCAATTCCCAGTTAAATCATCCCAGCCAGGGCTTTGTCAAGCCTGACCTTAAAAATATCTAAGGAAGGAGATTCTACCACCTCCCTAGGTAACGCATTCCAGTGTTTCACCACCCTCTTAGTGAAAAAGTTTTTCCTAATATCCAATCTAAACCTCCCCCACTGCAACTTGAGACCATTACTCCTCGTTCTGTCATCTGCTACCATTGAGAACAGTCTAGAGCCATCCTCTTTGGAACCCCCTTTCAGGTAGTTGAAAGCAGCTATCAAATCCCCCCTCATTCTTCTCTTCTGCAGGCTAAACAATCCCAGCTCCCTCAGCCTCTCCTCATAAGTCATGTGTTCCAGACCCCTAATCATTTTTGTTGCCCATATATCTTTTTTCCCTGCACCTTTTTCATGCCCTCCTTCTGCCTGCCCCCATGACACTGGTGTGCCTTGAACCACCTTTAATTCTCTCCATGCTCAACAAGTCTCCTACAACCGCCCTGTGCACCGCTCTTCTTGCTTCCCCAAGAGTCCTCCATCCTGAGTCCAGGGAACATAGTGTCCATCCCCAGTTCCTACCCCACTTGGGGGTTCTTTGTCCCCCTCTTCTATTGTCCCATCACCCTCCATCCTCCTGCTCTCCTGCATTTCTCCTTCTCTCCCTCCCTTCACCCTCACCCGAATTTAGGGGCACTTGTTACTTTTTAGAGGAGTTAGGCTGGGAATATATAAATGGGAAGCTACCTTCAATCTCAGCTATGGAACAGCTCCCACCACTCCCTAATACTGAGCATCCCATAATTGTTCCCAGATTTAGGACCCAATGTTACCCACAGCGATGTACGTGTCCAACCCATGGTGCTAACACAGCTGTGTGGGGTTAAATCCATGCAAAATTTGTCCACAGACTTCTATATGAGACAAAGAACAAAGGGGTGTCATTTCCCACCAGTCGTCCAGATGATGAGTTGCAGCAAGGTAGCTTTAAACTGTTTCCATTTCTTATAAATGCTTCTTGTACAAGGAAGAAGCTTGGTTGCTGTACATGTAGGAAAATAGCTCCAAGAATGTTGAAGTGCTGCCCAGTTGGCATTAGGTGATATCCCTGCTGGCTGAGATATTCAGAATATAGTAAATATGTTCTGAGAGGGTGGTGACAATTTCCCAGAATCCAAATAACTTATTTTAGGGCCTGATCCATAGTCTATTAAAATCTACCAGCATCTCTCCTTTGACATCAGTAGACTTTGGATCAGGCTCCTACTTTAATAATAAATAATTATTATTATTATTAATTTAAAAATTAGCTGTTTTGCCTGTATGGGGAAAAATTAGAGAATTTTACCAGTTCCATCAAAACGTCACCACTATTGAATTGTAATGTTGTTCCACAGGAAGGGCTGGATCCCTTATCAAATGTGTACATCAGGAAGGGAAATTTGCCAAGGGGTCTGATCCTGGGAAGTGCTGAGCACCCCGTGCCAGCATTTTCCGCATGTGGTTTGAGGGCTCTCGGCAATCTCAGTACTCAGGGTCCAGGTCTGAATTTGAATCCTTCCCACTCTGCTTGAGCTCACTTAGGGCATGAACAAGGCTCTGCCATCACTGTCTGTCATGCTGTTTGCAAAATAGCTGCCTTGTTACATCTCTAACATTTTTTACAAGGCTAGGTCACTGGCCTGTTGCTTATATCTGCACCACCCTAAAAGCCACATCCGTACTCAGCAGCTGATTGAGGATAATGGGCGGAGGGAGACTGTGGTTTTCCCTGCATGAGAGCAGAAGGGGGTAGTGAGGGAGACAGTGCACCAAAGGTCACCTCTCCCCGGAGTTTCTGCACGAGTTTCAGTTCTAACTTCATTGTGGGGGACACAGTCCCTCCTCACTGGTTCTTGGAGCTAGGCTGCCTGAGTGAGGAGTGTCACTGGTCCCGTGCTCCTGGAGTCTTTGCACCTGGTTCAGGCATAGTGGGCTCTCCTCTTTAACTCCTTTTGCAAGAGTGTAACCCTCTTGACTTCGGAGAGGTTACTCCATTGCTCTAAGCAAGGGGAAAATCAGGCCCACGCAGTGTGTCCAGGACTTTCTGCTAGGTCAGTGCCTCCCATACCACCAGCAGCGATTCATATGTCATGATCTCACCCTCAATCTCTGAATATCTCAAGATATAACAACCCACGCGACTGACATAAGTTTCACTGACAAAAGTGCCGGCATGGACAGCGCTATGTCGGGGGGAGAAGCTCTCCTGCTGACATAATTACCACCGCTCGTTGGGGGTGGTTTAATTATGCCAGCAGGAGAGCTATTTCCCATTGGCATAGAGCGGCTTATGGTGGCACAACTGCAGGGGTACAGCTGTGCCGCTGTAGGGTCTGTAGTGTAGACATAGCCCAAGTCTGAGAGTGCTTGCTTTTGCTAGCCGTAAGAACCGCTGGCCCAAATAAGAAAGCAGATGATAGGATGCTAGGGTAGAGCATAGAAAGCGTACAGCAACTTGGAGCTCATGGTTTTGTGGGTCCAAAAGGCAGATATGCTCAAATCAAGAGATTATTGTATTGCATCCCCTTGACTGTCTGATTTGAAAGAAGCACAGTACCAAGCTTTGGCGAGCTGGGGTGGGCTGGAAATTACAAGGAGTATAATTTAATCACGACCAGAGCCGTGAACAGTCTCTTAGAAAGGCTGTGTCTGGAGTGCACTCGTTGTAGTCACATATAAATGAGCTTTATGTGCAAGGATCTCAAAATGCTTTGTGCAGTACTGGCCCATAGGGGATTTTGCTATTAACCTTCCTGGGAGAAGAATCTGTATGTTACTGTTGCTGTTACATAATGTGTTAAGTAAACAGTCTGACCGATGTATTTACCGCCTTGCAAAATTCTACTCACCCACTCGCTGCACACAGAGTGAATCTTTTTGATGGGTAGGTACAGTGTCATTTATATTGTCAAGGGCAGATGAGTAGCTGTGGTATCTAGGCTGGTTACATTTTCACAACAGTTTTGTTCATCTGCATTAGGGGAATGTATGGTGTCAAGGGCATGACATGACTGCCAGCTAGTGCAAATTTGCAACCAGAGTTTTAAGGTAATTCCGTAATGCAGCTGGGTGCCAAGGAACAAGAAAGTTTATGTCTGCGACTCTGATAATGTGGGTGCAGTAAAGAGATTGGCCTACAAATGACAGAGCC